GCGGTGATTAATCGCTGTCATCAGGTTACAGCTTGCCACAGCTAATTTGACAAGCTGAAGTAGATGTTTAGAAGCAAGTGTTGCTTCTGCGAGCAACACCTGATCGTACTTGAGACGCTGGGAGCTGTCATCATAAACGCGAGATTCTTAGTATATCAGCTTTTGTACCCAAAACTTTGAGTGCAGTTGCATATTCGTACGCACAAAAATATGCGTGGGAAATCTGAGCAAGGTTGTGCGTGAAGCTGTGACAATGTTAGGAAGTAATGGGAACATGAAAATCTACCGTTAATGCAGTAGTCAAAGCCTCTGCCAGGTTACTGCCAAAGGATATTTCAATGATTGGGAGTATAGTAACAAAAAGTATAAAGTGAATGATAAATAATTGATAGCTATGGTTACAATCACCGAGTTGATGTAGCACACAGGCGGTACCATGGGTAAAGACAATATTGATAAATACGAAACTTATATACTTGCGAAGCATAATAAAGAATTGCCACACCTACTATTCCTTCTTGCATCATTGTCAAACTTTTCTCATGATGCTGTAGGGACTCTGATAAAAGCGCAGAATATTTTGTTAAGTTTATGTGCTGATTATTCAGTCATTGTAATTCTCTTTAGTAATCTATTCATAGTATGGTGCAGTGATCAGCCAGATAAAAACTGACGTTTTGGGAACCTGTTGCGAACCGTTGAGGGGCATAGTGACATCACAGCAAATATTGTGGCGCGGCAGGTTCAAAACGTCGCAGTCAGCTACAAGTGCTGTAATCGCTGGCGTGTCCCATCGTACTTTTCTCAGCCTTCGTCCAAAAAGACCGGTTGTATATAAAGGCTCCCCTTCACCTCGAAGGTAAAGAAAAAACCCGGTGTTTGGCTTTAAGCAAGACACAACAACACGAACTACAACAGCATAATAATAATAATAATAATAATAATAATAATAATAATAATAATAATAATAATAATAATAATAATAATAATAATAATAATAATAATAATAATAATATAATAATAATAATAATAATAAAGGAAGTGACAGTTTCCGCAGCAATAAATGCGATAGCAACAGATCAGGCTGCTATACGAAGTAAGGCCAGGAGACTTAGAAACCATATAAAGTGAACAAGGTCGACTGCTTGAGCTTGATTGACAGTAATGCATTGATCACAGTATCTAAACAGGTATTCAAGTGAAAAGTTCACTGCGTGACATCCGAGGGGAGGTGGAGTTCAAGTTCGGCAACGAGAAATGTGACAAGCCACTGGTTTTGACGTCGAAGTACATTAACGTTGAAGTCTCCAGTGACTGTCACCGGTACATCCTGTAGACACACCGCACGGAAGTTGTGCAGCAAGAAGTTCATGACGTCACCCCAAGGTTTCTGCTGAGATATACTGCTGCGATGACAAAGCTGTGCGATGTTTTACCGAGGAAGCGTCACCCCAACTCATCTGGAGCAGCGAGTTGAGTTTGTCCGTCTGAAGTGATTGTGGCGGTGCGTATTTCGACGGGAACCGAATTCACGGGCATCACAGGAACAGAAACTTTACGAATAGTTCTGGTCTTGATGAGAAAAATTTTTCCTGTTGCTTCAGAGTGAAAAGCGAACCAAAGAAGTTTTGGAATGCCCCTTTCATCCAACTGTATGTGCTTTAGTGAACCCACTCCTCCATTGATCAAGCCACACGACACGTCAATGCTTAGTAAAATCATGCGTGGCTTGTACAAACATAGTACGTAATTTGTTAAAGAATGCTTCTTTGAAGTCCATTGACAGTAAGCCAGTGAATATACATATCTCGTCGTCAGTTAGATGGACAGTATTAGCGGCGCGGCCTAGTTGGATGATGCAGAGAGCTGAGGAACGAGGGGTGCTGGTTCGAATCACCGGTGGGTGCCCTAGAATTTTTTTCGTGCAATATTCATTACATATCCCTCATGCACGCAATTTTGTGATTTATTCAATAATACAATTCTGCCAGCAATGGTTGCTTACTATGCTAATCTCGTTACAGCGGATGTATGAGGGACCGTAAGTACGCGTTATTGATAAGAAAGAATGTTCATACACTCTTGGAAGAACACTTCAGGGGGCCTTATCTTCCATCGAGCTCTTTTCTTAAAGATAGGATATCTCAAGAAGTGACACTGGCGCACTTCGTATGCAATAACCATTGTGTTCCGATCTGATGTGTCCAAGTTTCTATTTTTGCTTCTCGTTTTCTCTAAGCGTGCGCGTACATTGTCTCGAGTGAGCAAGTTTTGAAGCGGTAATACTGTACGAAATGCCAGAGGTGAAGACGAACACTATAACGAAAATGACCGCACTCAATGATTCTTGTCGCAGTGACATCTGCTTCAATTCCGAAAGCTATTTGATTGAACAGGACTGGTTGTAACTTGAAGATTGTTAATCACTATTAAAATTTATATTCAAGTTACCTTTAAGGAGAGAATTATGAAGCACTGCATTCGCATGGGTCTAGTTTACATAGCATCATTTTAAGCCAATGAATATTACATTTAATGGCACAAAGTTAAGAAGTGTGTGGTTTTGCGTGCGTTTCAGTCATTATTTGTTATTAGTACCTAATTGAATATTTATTTAGGCTACAGTCAGTCACGTTTCATTTTCTCATAAAAATAATGAAATATTAGGCTCCAGATGCGTGCAAAAGTAGTGTTTGGTTGTCTTATTTTCAAGAAATGTATTATACTTTAACATTAGTCCTAAAGCGCGGCACGTCGAATCATTCGTCAAGCATCGTTCAGCTTTTACCAAAGGCATTGACTACAGACAACACAGCACACAGCCAAAGTCAAGACATATTGACTTTGCAGAAGGTTCAAGTCATCTAATGAGCAATGCATACTGCTCTGCTTCGATCACAAGTGTACACAACTAGCATAAAAAGTTCTGTTCACAAATGTAGTCACCACCACTCAAAGGATTATTGTAAAATTTCTCAATAGCCATACAGTTTACATGTGCGCATTTTCAAAGAAACTTCATTCGATTCTAATCTAATTTTCGAGGGGGGAGGGGTGAGCCAGGGATGTAGGTTGTTCTTGTCGTCGTCGTCGTCATCATCATCAATATCATCATCATAATGATCTCGCGCCAGGTCTGGCCATCTACAACTCGGCATTTAGTGTGCAGGCCTAACGTATATATATCCTGACAAAGGCCAGACTTTGGCCAAAACTGTCGAATTAAACGCTTCCGTTGTTACCGCTCTCACGAAGGAATTATATATATATATATATATATATATATATATATATATATATATATATATATATATATATATATAACGTTAAACACTTTGGTCGCCTCGCTTGTAATTCCTACGAAAGGCTGAGTTCCTCCACAAATTTTTCAGTAAATGAAGCGTTGGTCCAATCACACAGCGCAAACATTCATTTCTCTACTTATTGTGTAAGTGGTTCGAATAAACGACCATATTACAGAACCAATGAAGGATTCCCTTACTGTTTTGCTTAGGTGGTTATACATGCCCTACTAGTTTATATGTCCATATTGCAAGCGTGAGGAACGACAGCTTACAAAACAGAGCAGAACATTCAACTGACGTATAATGTAAAACAATTTTAAAGAGCCTTGTGACAAAAAAGAAATGAAGCATAAAAATGACAACGTTAGAAAAAAAGCATTTGTTTATGAAATAATTATTTAAAAATGCGAAGGGATTATTTAAACATAACGGCATATGAATTGGCGTATTTCAAAAGTAATATTGCAAACTATTCTCCACTTTCAACTCTTTGGCTTGTTGGTTGAAGCGGATCAACGTTCCAAAGTGACTCAGGCTATGATAGACGCCGCAGTGGAGGACTCCCAATACTTCAGACAATTTCGGGTAAGTTAACGTACGCTGCCATGGCACAGTAAACGGGTCTTAGTATTTCGCCTCAGCGACCACCGCAGCCAGGATTGAAGCGGCAGTTTTGGATGAGCAGCGGAGTAACGTTACCACTTATCCTCAGTGGTGGCTTACGGTACTTGTAAGCGCAACCTACACCGTTCGAATACCCGCTTCAAGCATTTCAGCTGACGTTAAACAGGAAGTGACATTGATGCACGTGATAAGGCGAGTGGAAATGACACAAACATTTCCGATCCGCTTATCATTGTAGCCGATGAGGAGCGTGACACGTTTAAAGATTTCAAAAGTGAACTACATTTCTGCTTTCTCAATGCAATTCTTTTTCATAATAGATGTCTCTGATGCAGACGTACACAAGAACTCAACTAAATCACTTTGCTGTTGCAATATTACCATTAATTTATTTGTACTTTCTGGATCTCGGAAGTGGGTTAGGGGAAGACAGAAGGTTAGGTGGGCAGATGAGATTAAGAAGTTTGCGGGTATAAATTGGCAGCAGAAAGCACAGGACCGGGTTAACTGGCGGAACATGGGAGAGGCCTTTGTCCTGCAGTGGACGTAGTAGGGCTGATGATGATGATGATGATGATGATGATGATGATCTCGGAAATGTTCCCGTACTTCAGCATCGGCCCTTAAGTGCAGGGACTTAGGAAGAAAGTGAACAATCTTTTAACGGGGCCCTGCTATTAATGTTCAGCAACACAGTGAGCTTATTATCCGAGTACAGAAAACTTCAGGACGAGGGCTAATTAGCACTGGTAGCCACTTACCCAAAGCCATGAAATAGGTATCATTGAACGCAACTGCGTAATAGAGGACAGACGTTTTGGTGATACGCATCAACCTTCAGTATCAATCCATCTGAGTAGAACAACTTACGTCACGCGTACACGTAGCAGAAAAAAAAAGAAGAAATGCATGGTACAGAAGATCATGGTCACACAACATGCACACAGAGAAAACCACGTGCATCGTGCTTTCAAGGTCGTGCTTGCCGGCAAAGAACGCTGTCGTGGTTCCGCGGAGGACACGGCTTCATGCACGTCAACCCCAAAAGGGCCCGAGTCGCCGTGGACTTACTTGTTGTGTGATGAGAACATCCCTCCCCCGGAGCTGAATACTTGTATCCGCCGCCCTATCGTTTTCGAGAACTCGCTCGTTCGCTGCTCGAAGATGCTTCCCTGCGCGGAAGAGGCGAGAATCTCGTCAGAAAATACAGGGTTTGAAAGTAATAACGCTTTCACCAGGATGACCTACACACGAGCAGCCTACACACTGAACGATCACAACATTTACACAAAGAAAGGCAAAAAAAAAAAGCTCAAGTGCTGTCTAGGAACTGCTGCGTTTACTCAGACAGGCAGTCTATATCAACACTGGTGTTTGGAATGGCGCTTCGTACTTTGAAGCCAAAATTGCACAAGTAAAAAAGCAATGCTGCTTAGATCTCGTTGAAAGTAGAAACTACGGTGTATATCGCCACGCCTTTGCAGGAAAGTAGGAGTGGTAAAAGGAGTTTAAAAGCAAGATATCACTTGTGTTTTGTTTTATTTCTCGTCTATTTGTAAGTGTTGCGCTCATGCTTGTAGGTTATAGTATAAAATTATTCCAACAGGAGAGATCAGAACATTAGAATAAAAACACTGTGGGAACCCTTTTCAGAACAGTGCAAACTAATTTAGCATAGTACCGCACAATGATTAAATACTCTAGCATGAACAGTAGATTTTCGCTTTCTAGACTTCAAGTACGTGTGATCATAACGTGAGAAAACTGAAAATGAAGGGTTTCTTTTTTTTTGCGTAGGCGCATAATAATTAGACATTTATTGTAGCCACATACATTATAGTGCTGTTGAAAGACGGGTAATGACCACAGGAAACATTGCTCGAGTTTCTCGGTGATGACTGTTATCTATTTTTTTCACCCAAGTTGGCATACTACAATAACTACTACTACTACTACTACAATAACTACTACTACAAGTGTACCACGACTAATATTACAACTACTGCTACTACTACTACTACTACTACTACTACTACTACCACTACCACTACCACTACTACTACTACTACTACTACTACTACTACTACTACTACTACTACTACTACTACTACTCATAGTAACAGTTTTAATGCTTGAGGCGAAAGTACATTTTCAACTCGTCACTTGCCATACCTGTGTCGTTCATGTTATAACACGAATGCTCGTTTTCGAGGTCGTTGTAGACCTTTATGATTCCTGAATGCATGTCCGCAAGCATTCTTGTTTCCAAGAGGTAAAAATGATAAAGTAAACAACTATGCCGACAATCCCTAAAACATCACGGACACCCTTAAGCCTGTGCAACGACAAGCAATAATGACACTTTGCGATTGGAATAATATTTTCATAAAGTAATTGTAAACAAAACAAAAAAAGCTGCTTTATTAAAAAGTAAGAACTGAACGGTGGGTTTTCTAAACTGGGGAGCGAATGCGCTGCCCTCGACATAGATAATGTAGTGCTTGCTTCACGTTTTTTGAAGTATTTTTTATACATGTATGCATAACCACGGCCGACGGACGTATCGTGTTGGGACATGAAGACGCGTTGTGGAGAATGGCCCGTGACACAGTCTGCAGCAGTTCTTATACGCATCATTGTTGATTCTCGTGCAACACAGCACGTTCAACGACGAGCATCGTGGAAAAAGCAAGCTTTGCTGCGCTGTTATGGCATTGGAGCGCTGATAACTGAAGCGATGGTCGAGAAGTGAGCAGTTCGTGAAGCAAAGCTCTACGTTGCATATGTAGTACATGCAGCGTTTATTCGCTGACGCTGCCACATGGCAGCACACACCGAACAGACGTGCATTTGGTTGTAAGCACCGTTTTTTTTTGTCAGAAAAGCAATGTCATACACACTATAGTGAAGGAGATATACGAAAATATCACAAACTAACTTCGAACGATAAAACACTGAATCATGAATCCAGACCCATCGAAAGTAACGAGCAACACATCTGTATATCTGAGTTAATGATGTTAAAAACTATGCGCGATTTGATTCTTCTGAAGCTATATTCTTTCTTTGTACGATAAACTATTTTTTTTTATATTATTGCTTCTGAAACATAGAAATGTCTGCATTGGTCGGAAGTTAAAGCGATATCACACAGCCACTTTAATCGTGATTGGGCCTGATCATGGTAGAATTTCACGATCGCGACTGGCTCCTTTATGGAAGCTGCAGAAGGTAGCCAATCACTGTTGAGAGATTTATTTGATCCTGATCGAGTTTGATAGCAATCAGCAGTGTGCTGCGTGACACAGGCATCAGACACTTCTCCCCTAAAAAAGCACAGGGACGCATTGTGAATGAATTGCATTGGTATTGCCTCTGTTGTTCCACAGCAGCGATCTATTTCCAAATAAATTGACTGACCCATGAGCGCAGTAATATCAGCTTAGATGAACTCATTGAGAAAGATTGAAGAAAGCAACTGCACCGACTTACAAGATGATGAGGCTATCTATGAACATTGTACGCTCAAGACATTTGTTGCATTATCTTCACTAAACAAACATCGATGTTTCCATGTAATATTGTCATCACATTGTGTTTCGTGCCGATTTAAGCGATATAAAAATTAACTCACTCTCTTCGTCGCAATGTTCACTGGGTGCTGCTCATGTATCTTTCCAACATTTCGTTTAACTGAACGGTGAATTATCTTTTAAACGTATTTCTTGAGGTGACTAAATAAGAGAAAGAGCATTCTATATCTCTCCCACTAGGCTAATTGTCGAGTGGATAACTTGCCCAGCTATTGTATAGTCATATTGCACGCAAAGTAATGTGCTATGCTTTCTGCACTTTTTTCAGTTAGGAGAAAACATCGTTAGTTATTATAAGTTCTCTTCAGTGAAATGAACTTTTTTTGCACTACTTCGGTTTTGAATATCGTGATTGTACAGTATGTTTTCGAAGCTGTTGCTGGTGATACGTTCCGAATGAAGTAAATGTAAATAAACAAACGTTTAATACACTTTTTTTCAATGCTTGTATATCGTTCAGTGGATTCAGATCGTATTTTACGACGTAAAAAAGAAAAGCAAGGTCGTGCCGATGCTTTCCCTGTGTCAAGATAGAATGAATACCAACGACAACGTTGTTGCGGTTGTATAAGTCTGTTAAAATTCTTATGAGTGCTTCGTATATAAGAACCACCACCACTAATACACAATATCGCAACGCGTTTTTCAGGTATTACAAATGACTGGTATATCATACGCCAGATGCTACAGAAAAGTGCTCTTTATTTCATTTTGCATAGCTACAGGTAACGCCGTCACCGAAGCAGCAAGATAGGACATGCTCATGTCTGAATGGCTAATAATGGGTGCCACTGGAATAAGCTGTCCTAAGAAAAATTAATCGGGAATGCTTACAAAACAAACAACGATTGTCCACCCTTTTGCACCATTCCGAAGGCGTCACGACACTCGTTAGAAACCCATAGCACATCTCAACCTATAGAAAATGACGCTGTCAAGTACCAAACGCTCAGCGTTGTCTTAAAATCACAGTGCAAAGATTACCGCCGATAGCGTTTGTATCAATATCCGTATAATTACTGATTTCATTGATTGTGCGTAGAAAAACATGGAAACTACTCTTCTTCAAAGCTACAGGTAGCTTCATGACCAAATACAGCCGAATTAACCATATTTGTTCATTAGATTAATACATATGTCTTATACTTTTGGTTGAACTCTCCTAATACATAGCGAGAGTGATAAAAGACAAGCTCTCGTAGCTGTCGTGCGTTTAGTCTGGTACCAGTGTTTATTGCACGTGCAATTAGGATCCATTGGCATCAGGATTCTGGTCGTCTTTACTCCAAACCTCGAAGCAAAACATTCCGCAAGAACTTGTGGAATAACACTGCATTTATTGTTTATACAACAACTGCATCTTGGATGATTTCGCTGTATTTTCAGATATCTCACATTCTGACGTTCGTGTTTTTGTTACAGTGACTCACGTTTGAGCTCTTTGCCGTATGGTTAACTTTATCCACAACGTCCAAGTTTCTTATGATTGCTTAATACAAATATTACGTAAGTGCTGGTAGAATGCATATAATTATAACATCCACCCCTGAGGACGGAGGATTACAGATCGACAAAGTCATGGGTTTTTCGATTGTATGCGGAGGTATCTGGGCCGCTCAGTGGCAGCACGTCTCTTCTCCTCTTTAATCGTTATTACACTTGGAAGAAATAAAAGGAATGAGTGATATATTTTGGAGTGTTATGTTTTGCTAACTTATCCTGAAGGTAATATAAACGACCGCTAGCGAAGACCACCTTCGTTGGTTCCTTGGACGCTTGAAGCTTATTCTTAGGCCTGACTAACTATACACCAATGTCTGAATGCACTGAAAGTAGGCTGTCATAGTCGCGCCTGTTTTCAGCTGTTTACGAATGCATCGGAAGCACGAGGGACAACGTGCTTAAGTCATTGCGTGGCATAGTATCTGCAAATGAGTGAACTAAACTCTGGATGGTCTCAAGTCCGAAACGGAAGCTATGGTATAGCTAGAAGTGAAATATCTAATCTATCTTAGAAACGTATGTGTTTTCTCAACTCTCGCAATAATAAGCCTGAAATGTCACAGAATCAACTAGCAAAGACACGACAAGATCACCATGATTGAGGAATTTCATGTTAGCAAAAATGTTTTTAGGAAGACAGATAGGATATACATGGCATATAAGTGGAGGTCTTACTTCGATATGTGGCATTGAACCGTACATGGAGAAACTTGTGGCGCACGAAAAAGACATGGACAAGGAAAATCACAACAAGACACACTTTCTTTGCCCATGTGTTTTTTGTGCGCTTGAAGCTTCACCGTGTACTTCCCCCACCAAGCACATTCTTACATCCTTTGAAGTTGAACGGTTGGGGATATTGCTAAATGAATCACAGGCGCGCTCATTATAGAAGCACCTGTGCCCTTACACTACCACAAATACAAAGAAAAATATGAACATAGCTTCATTAGCGCGGCACACATGAAAAAAGGAAAAGACGACATGAACGTCAAGAAAGGTAGGTGCTAAACTTCCAACTTTTCAAACAGATGGAAGTTTAGCGCCGGCCATTCTTGACGTCTATGTCATCTTTTATATTTTCGTATGTGCCGCGCTAATATAAGCTATGTCCATGGATAACCAACGTGCCCTAGCCACAACACTTTTGAAGAAAAAATGAATGCTTATGCTGAAATAGAGAATCAAACGAACCTGCATTAGGACTTCCATTTTCAAAGGCAGTGAGGAGCTGGAGATGTGAAGAGAGGCTCAGTACGGAGTGAAGGGGAGACGCCCCCTTTTGCAAGCAGGGTAGCGTTGGCGTCTACGGTGGCCCGCCGTAAACAAAAACACCCCCTCCAGACAGGAACACTGACCACAACAACACACCGGCCGTGAAAAAAAAAAACAGAACAGAAACCTTTTCCGTTTCTTTTCCCTTGTTCTAGTAACTTCTCCACACGCACACCAGAGTATATTTTCCAAAGTAGTTTCCTCACGAAGAGCCGCACTTCCTTCGCGAATATCCTGGTCGGTCGCCGGTGGTCGCGGCTGTCGAATGTATCCAAGGCGTTCGCCGAAGCTGTGTCACTACCGCGCGAGGGCAGTTGTCGTCGATGGTCGAAGGACAGTACAAGAGATGATAATGAGGAAGAAGTAGGCGTTTAAGGGGGAGAGTAACGTTGTTTCGGAAGTGAAAGAAACAGAAGGGAGCCCCTTTTTTCGCGGCAGGGCTCGTCTCTCGGAAGATGAGGAAGACCTTATGCCAGGCAGAAGAGGAAGAGGGGAGAGCAAAAGAAATAAGGCGGGGGAGGAGGCACGCGCGTAACATTGGGCGCTTGGCTCGCTCGCCTCAGTGGCGAGGAGGGCTGCGGACGACGGGAAGGAACAAACATGGCGGCAGCAAGACAGCAGCCCGACGGCACGGGCATGACGGTGTAGGTGGTAGCTGCGAGGCTCGTAGATGACTCCAGAAGCGGAGCTGTAGCGTTTCTTTTTTCTTTGCTTTCAGGGAATCCTTCTCATTTATTTGTTGTCGTTGATTTTTGAGACTCACCCCCGAGTCGGAGCCGTGCCTGGACGCCCTCCAGAGATGCTTTAAAAAGCGACCTCCCCCGAGAAACTCGCGTTAGGCTCATTCCTGAAAGCCAGGAGGGAGAGAAAAGACACGGCCAGAGCGACGATGCCAGAGGAAAGGCCTCGGTACGGGGAGAAAAGTTTAGACGAAGACGTAACAGTCTGAATGTTCTGAAGTGTACCGCCGAGAGTCTGGCTGGGGTATAGAAAAAAAAAACATTTACCGTTTTCTAGGCCAATGCTCATAGCTGAGCGTGCCGTGTGAAACGGGAATGTCGGGACTGTCTAAATCTGCGGATGGAAGTGGTGCATGTAATAGCAGTGGTGGCGTTGACAGACAGTGCATTCAAAGGTTTCGCTATACGCAGGTGGTTCTCAACGCTTAGCGAATATGGAGCCTTGAAGTACGGACCCTTTTTTGAATCGAGCTTATTTGGTTTTGGGAAAGACACATACCATCCGGTCCAAATTGTGTATGGGCCATACACTTTATACACAGTTTAGAAAGATGCTCTTCTACTGCAGACCGTAAAACTTGTTCTTTAATTGCCGGTAATTTGCAGTCTACTGTTAATAAAGAAGAGCATACTGAGAGCAAGTGTGCTGAAGTAGGATGAAATAGGGATTAGTACTTTCATACTAATACATTGTTAGTGCTGCATTCACGGTGAGCGGAACAGCCAAACATATTAATGTAATTGAAATCTTTGCGAACAATTGCACTTGCTGGTGACTATCTGATACAAACTCACATTGTTGTAGAAGTCCTGAGAACGCACATCAGACTCTTCGCACGTGCTCCCTGTCAGCACCTTGCACTGTTGCCTTCAGAGAGGCGCCAAGCATCGTTCGCTAAAATGGTAGTGAAGTACAACGAGAAACTTCCCTAGGGCTTCACTCCTGAATCTAAGCCATCAATACCCCCTTGGTGCCTTATTCGACCCACAGTGCATCTTAGTGTACCAGGGATCCGGAGGAAATCTGAGCTTTCATCGCCCGTGCTGAAACAACTATCTCTTTATCTTTTGCACGAGAAACATTCAGTGTACATATATATACCGATGGCTCCACGAACCACCAGTGTTCGTCAGGTGCAGTAGTTGTCCCAGCAAGAGATGTTACCATCAGCTTTAGTACTGACCACTCCATGGCATCTACAGCAGCGGAACTAGTTGATTTGCGCGCTGTACTTTGTTTGTTCAATCGGGAACCACCGCAACAATGGTCGATTTTCAGCGACTCAAGGGCTGCCCTACAATCTGTGCTCTCAGCACTGCGTCACGGGCCGAACGAACAGCCTGTTTTCTAAATACGATGCCTTCTCCACACTTCAAAACGAGAAAGCGCATCATGTGACGCGTCAATGGCTGCCAAGTCACTGCGGCGTCATAGGGAACGAACATGCCGATACTGCCGCGCGGGCAGCTCTTGAAGTAACACGAGCAGAAGCCATACCACTTTCGAGGACTGATGCAGCCAGTAATCTTCGATGGCTTGCACGTGAAGTCACCTTTTCACTATGGTGCCCACCAAGCAACGAGGCGAATCGTTAACACAACCTGTCCTCTTTGATGGCTCTCCGCATGCCCACTGGGCTTGACCGAAGAGAAGCCACCCTTCTTCATCGCTTATGGCTAGGAGTGGCATTTACAAAATCTCATCCCTTTGCCATAGGAATGTCCGACAACGCTCTCTGCGATGCCTGTCATTGCGAAGAGACGCTACACCACATCCTGTGCGACTGCCCGTTGTATGACATCAAGAGACAGTCACTGGCGTCCGTTCTTGCGCACATCGACAACAGCCAAATGTCTGTGGACACTACTCTGTCAAGTGCCCGAGACAAGACATTGCAACAGAAGGCAACAAAAGCTCTGCTGAAATTCCTACACGACACGGACTTGAACAAGCAGCTGTAACGGCAGTGTCACACACCGCGAAAGACAAGACTGGCCTATGACTGAGTGTGCGCGCGTGTGCTGCCGAATGTGCTGTGTTTATCTCTCTGCTCTCTATCTTTCATCTCCCTCATTCCCTTCCCATGCGCAGGGTAGCAAACCGGCTGCATATAGGCTGGTTAACCTCCCTGCCGTTCTTTTCCTGCTATTTTTCTTCCTTCGGTCTAAAGCAGTGTCATAGCAAGCACCAGCGAAGGAGACACATGGGGATTATGGGACCACATAATTTTGTCATCTGACTGCCTCGGTGGAACAGGGGCTATGATGCTCAACTGAAGACCCAAAAGTCGTGGATTATATCCCGGCTGCGGCAGTCGAACATCGATGAAAGCGATATGGTAGAGGCTCGTGCACTGTGCGATATCCGTGTACACTAAAGAACACCAGATGATCAAAATTCCCGGAGCCCTCCACTGCGGCGTCGTTTTTATTGTGGTTTTGGGATTTAAAACTCCAGATTGTAGTATAATTAGTTTTGTCGTCTATGAGAAGTTTATATCTGGCCTTTTTAGCAAAACAATGTTGATGTATTACCAACTCATTGGTGATAATTACATAACACCCCCTAAACTCGTCCACTCCTTGTTAGGAATGCCGCACTTAGAATTTATTTACCCGTCCACGGCAGATATTAGGATTCCGACAAGTTCTTGGAGGTACACGCGACAAAGAACGACGCCGTAATTATACACAAGAAAACCTTGCGGAACACCCTGCCGTCTACATCGAATTGCGAGACAAGTGCAGGCGTCGTCACACTCGTCCAAAAGGTCGAGTGCCACGCAAATATAGCGCGAAAGCATGAAAACACACAGGCGACGATCCATTTCTGCAGTCGTAATCTAAATATACACCGCGTGGTGTTTCGTCAAAGCCTAGCGAGTGCGAGTCACTGTGGCAAGGTTATATGAAACGGAAGGCGAGAGGAGGGTGCTAGAAGCGTGCAGGTCCAAGGAACAAGCGGCCAGCTATTTCGAAAGGGAAAAACACAAGCGTCGCTTCGGTATTCCTCAAATGCATTAAGCCTAGACAACGCCTCCTGGCCAGCCGTACGTGATGGAAACTCTTGCTTCTGGCCCTTTTCTGCCTGTTTGTTTCTGTCAGGGGTGACTTGACGCCGCTGTCATCAGCACCGATGCACCCCAGTTTCTGCAACTCGCTTGTGGAGGTCCAGCGGTGGATGGAACAAGGCCAAGGTCTTTGAGCTCGCGTCGGTTGGGTGAAAGTTAGATGCAGTGCAGTGAAACCCACGTCACTATGATTAACCTATTCATGATCCCACACACGAAGTCCCAGCGACGTGTCACGCCGCTGCCTAGATACTTTTTTTTTTGGTGCGCATTGTTGTGGCTCTCACAGGTCCCCAACACATTACTTGCTGCACACGCTTGTAGAGGTTACTGTTGAGGAGCAACACGCTAATTCTCCAAATGATGTCCAGGTTGGTTGCCGCGATGATAGTACGAATTTTCGCTCTTGGCAGCGGACGGTGAGTCTTCCCAAGAGATCAGCAGTAGCCATGTTGCGTGAGGCTGGGGGCGTGCAAGCGCTCCATAAATATGGGGACTGCTGAGTGAAAAGTGGAGCTGTGAGGAAACGGCGCACCGATGGGTTCTCGTTCATTGCGAGCTCAAACTTTTCCTGGCGACGAGCTGGCTCGTCCTGTTCCATGGCTTACCTTGTGGCACGCTGGCTTTCGCTTGCACCAGCGCCGGCCGCTTCCGATGAGGAGACCTAACAAGGATTCGGGAAAAAGGAAAATGACAAAACTAGTGTGGTTACAGAAAAAAAGGGAAAATAAATGAGTGAGAAAAGTTCAGTCGGTTCAAGCACCCAAACTTTGGTGGCCACTTTTTGTCGATTTCTTTTCGGAATAATAGATATGTGGGGTTGAACGTCCCAAAACCACCGTATGATTATGAGAGACGCCGTAGTGGAGGGTTCCGGAAATTTCGACCACCTGGGGTTCTTTAACGTGCACCCAAATCTGAGCACACGGGCCTACAACATTTCCGCCTCCATCGGTTCTTTTCGGAATGACTTCCAGGCAGAAAAAAAAACTTCTGCATGCGTAGTTTTAATGCTAATGACGAAAGAGTGAGAAAGAAAAGAAGTGGAAGTACCGGATGTAATTGAGGTATCAGCAATCGGTTCGAAACCTTGCCCGGGGTGGAAAATATGGGTCGGAATGTTAGAATAACGAAATATACGTGCAGTTAATGTTGAGAACACCAAGGCACTACCAGTTCTAAGCAAATAGTTCGTTAGACGCTTCAATCACCTGGGCAACATTTTTTTAGTAGAAGATGCAAAAAAAAGGTTCAGTGAGTAGGAAGACAGTGAACACGTTGGTCCCGTTTCAGCCTCGACCCTGAGAAGTCGCGAAAATGTATGAATTCACCTACAGATGCTCAAATCATTCTTCTTGCCGTCTACGTCGACGAACAGATCTCTTGTGATTCCCACCATTCATGTTGCAGGCTTACGATTAGTTCAACCAGAGGCCGCTGACATATTTACAGGATTAAGAAAGGTCTGAGGTTTTATGTGCCAAAGCAGCAATATGATTATGAAGCGTACCATAGGAGGAGGAGGAGGAGGAGGA